TAAATAAATAAATAAATAAATAAATAAATAAATAAATAAATAAATAAGTAAGTAAATATGCTTGAGAAATCAGTAGTTGCTATACACTGGCAGTGGGGAAAAGGTCTGACCTTAAAGTTTTACCATGGGAGACTTCTTTGTGAACATTGGAGTTATTTTGCAGCCTGTGTTAGTAGTAGCTTACACCACCCTAATGCCTGTGTTAAAACTTTGAGTACAGTTTCACTCTCTAAAGTAAGTTTTATAGTATATATACATTTTAAATAGCAACTAAAATGAACTATAACTGAACAAGTTAAATATATATTTTGCAAGGTAGAATATTTAATATATTTATTCTTATTATGTTTGTGCGTGTGTGTGTGTGTGTGTGTGTGTGTGTGTGTGTGTGTGTGTGTGTATGTATGCACATGTGAACATACATGCCACAGCGTACATGCAGTGTCAGGGCAACCTGTAGGAGTCAGTTTTCTTTCTTTCATGAGTTTGTGGAATAAAACTCATTGTCAGGCTTGGTGGCATATGCCTTTACCTCCTGAGCCATCTCACATGGTGAAATTTATAGTACAGAGATATTTAATTTAAAAAAATAAATAATGGCTGGAATCATGAATCTGATTTTGAATGCTCTGTCACATTCTGCAGTGTAGATAGTTTGCTCAGTTGCAGGTTAGAATCTAGAAACATTGGCTGTCATGAGGACAGATGAACATAAGAGTCTGTGTTATTATTAAAGGATGAATGAATGCAACAAAATAACCTGCTTATACCAGTCAAGTTATATGTTAATTGTGAAACAGCTTGGTACCTGCGATGAAAACAGGTAGACAGGATGTCTTGTTATAGAAGAGGGCCACTTGCTGTTTTGTTCCAGAGTAATAGCTCTACTACTGTTCAAAGGAGATATGCAAGATTTGTGGGTAATCCTCTCATTAATTGTTGAGATGCAGTGCTTTCCCCCCCCAACACTCACCCCAGTTTAGTGACTCCTTTGAGAGTAGTTCCTTTTACTTCTGATGGGAGAAAATGCATGTAGCTGTATACTCATAAACATTTACATGTAACAAATTTCACAGCCCTCCTGAACTCAGGCATTAACATGAAGTTAAAAAGCTCTTGCTTAGCTTGATTTTTTTTTTTGTTTGTTTGTTTTGTTTTACTTTAATGGAAAGAAACAAGGGAACTGGAGTTAACTTGTTATATCCTGGCTTAAATTGTTATTTAAATTTTTTCAAAAATAAAGTAGACAAGAGTATAGCTGTGTACTCACTTGTAGACTAGTTTGTACTTGTTTGTTTGACTATACCATGACCACTATCTCTTCATCTTTTCAAGGCCCAAAACACTGATAAGCCTTAACAGGTCAATAAAAAGTCTTATGAAATGATAAAACAGGCCTGTTCTAAGAGGTAGAGTATTCAGAGAAAATTGGGGTTGCTTTCCTTTGCTCTTCTTTTTGCTGAAGTTTAGTCCTAACTTTCAGTTTGAGCAAGAAGAAATTTGTTTTTTTTTTTTTTAATTATTCTTTAAATTACTTCATTATTTCTGTACACATTCGTTGTTTATTTGAGACAGGACCTCATTGTGTAGTCCTGGCTATCCTGGAACTTGATAGACCAGACTAGCTTAGGTTAGAAATCATAGAGATCCACCTGCTCCTTTCTCCAGAGTGCTTGTATTAAAGGTAAGCACACTGACACCCAACTATGTTTTATTATTTTTATTTTATGAGAATGAGCATGTATCTACCATATGTATGCCTGGTGCCCACCAAGACCAGAAGAGCGCATCAGATCCCCTGGAACTAGAGTTACAGATGCTGCCTTGTGGGTGCTGAGAACTGAACCAGGGTTTTTTCCAAGACCATCTCTGTATCACTTGTCTGTTTTATTTTTTCCAAATGTTCTCTGTTCTCAAGTTTATATAAGGAAGTCTCCACACTGCTTTTTTTGCCACAGGGTGCCATAAGTGCAGGTAATGAAGGTTTGTCTGGGTGGAAGGTGAGTTGTGCAGCACGGAAATTTTCCAAGTCTTATTTAGTTGCCTTGGTTCTTCGGTGTTTCC